AACTGGTATTACTCCCATGAATCGTAGAGTTAGTAGTGTTGTTGTGGATAGTAATGGAAAAATGTATATTTTTGGTGGGCAAGCAGATGAACTTACCGGATCTTCTACTGTTCAACATCTTAATGACATATACACTTTGAATACAGTAGACCTGACTTGGCATCAAATTTTCTCAAATAATCCACCATTACCAACTTGTGATCATACTTCAACTTTATTGCCTGATGGTAGAATTGTAATTATTGGTGGAAATGAGGGAACTCTAGTTGACATGCATAAAGTATGCATTATTTTTATATATGCATATTCATATAGAATACATTGATTATAGTTTTTTTAATAAAGTAAAATATTTATAGTTGAATTATATGTTTATTTTATAGATAAAAATTTTTGATACAAATAGTTCAAATTGGTCAACTATGGTAAATATTAATCAATTAAAGTATAATGTTTAAATTTTATTGATGAGAAAAAAACAGAATATTTAATTTATTTTTCTTACACTTTAGACAGCAAGTGGTCCACCATCTATCCAACCTCGATCTTATCATACAACTGTACTTTGTAATTAATTTTTTTAATTTTAAATGTTTTTTTAAAAGAAATGTTTTTTTAAAAGAAATATCATGCTAAAACCATATATATTGTATAGCAAAGGATGGAAAGATAATTGTTTATGGTGGTAGTGGATATCCTCTACAAACCACATCATTTCCTGAACTTCTAGTACTGGATACAACCACAAATCCCTTTCAATGGTTTGCACCTGATTTTTCATTTATTAATCGTGCTCCACCTCTAAGATTACATACAGCTAATTCAATAGGAAATCAAATGATAATAAGTTTTGGTAAATCTTTTATAATATTTTTATGACCTTTCAAACCTAAAATTAATTAATCAAAAAATAAAAAATTATATATATAGGAATTGTTATAAATAATGTTTCAAATTCAAATTTATTGAGTGCAAATACTTATGTACTGGATATTAAAGATTATACTTGGAAAACAAGTTATTCAGCATTGCCATTTTCATCAGAAACATCAACATCAACATCAGCATCAGCATCAACATCAACATCACCATCACTATCACCAGAAACATCAACATCACCAACATCACCAACATCACCAAACACTGTATTAGTAATACTATCATCAATTTCATGTGGAATAACAGTGGCAGCAATAGCAACATTCATAATTGTAAGATTGTATCAAAAGAAAAAGAAATCAGTTTCAAATGATGTTGTAGAAATACCTAATGAAGAACAAATTCAACAACACAGAAATTCTCAATTTGTTCCTATTACCTTATCTAATAATGTTGGTGGTCACTTAAAATAATTTTTTTAAATAATAATTTTTATTTTACATCATTAATTGAGTTCTAGAAGGAAAATTATATTTAGAAATAATATACAAATCAACTATTTATTTAACATATAAAATTAATATTAGAAATCAGTAATAGCTTAGAAACTTGTATTTTTTTATAAAAATAAAAAACTGAAAATTATTTTATAATTTTAAATTGGGAAAGTAATATTAACAGATTAGTCTTCATGCTACATCAATTAGTTTTTATACTAATTATTATTATTGCTGAATGACTATATTAAAAAAAATTGTTGATTATTTTTTTAACATGCCATGTATTAACTGAAAAAATAGCATTCAGATTGTTTAAACAGTGTGAGATCAAAATTCCGCGTCTCACACAAATCTCTTGATTTGGTTAAAATATTATTTATCCCTTCTTATGGCAGTATCCAATTATTTAATTCTTTGATTACTTTCTCTCACTATAGTGCTTAAGCTATTTAATTGTTCACAGGGCAAGTTTCCTTACTTCCCTTCCGGTAACGTTTTCTCGGCAGTTCTTTGTTATCTGCCTGAGCCGGCATGTCTCAATGATATTTATAATATCTCAAGTATCCGCCGTGATACTTTTACACTGATTATTTATATTTATGATCCAGTCTCTTAACTGACCTCACTAAAAGCACTAAAAGAAAAGAAAAGAAATAAAAAATAATAACATTAATAAAAACAAATATAAATAAGAGAAAATAATTATGCACGGTATTAGTATAAATTCGTAGTTAGGGATAGATTTATTATCATTTCGAAAATATAATGTTTGAAGTTAACAAGGTCAAGGTCAAGGTCAAGGTTTATTTATAATAATATTTGAGTTTACTAAAAAAACTTTGAGTTAACTAACTAAAGATTACATGAAAGAGAAATTTACAACGTATTTATACATTTTAGAGGTTCTATCTATCATCTAGTTCTCCGATTTCTTTAAAATCCTAAATTATACTAATTAATGTATTCTTTCATCATTATTTAAACCTTCCATGTAGAATTATTTTCAAGTAATTTCTAGTCAACATGAGTCATGTAAAATTCTTTTGATATTATTCAACAACTTTGATACACAAAATTGGAAAACTTGTGATGGATACCATTATAAGTTTATTAATATAATTTTTTTAGTAGCGAGGCACACAAACTGAATTTAGCTAAGAATAAAATTGAGAAGTTGTGAAATCAATTAAAATATGGGTCTGGGTCACTTTACCGACAATCAAGTAAGGTTTCTAGCCCAAACTGTTTCTCAAAGCTCAAGCTATTTTGGCAATTTGGGCTTTTCAACGTTTTTTATATAATAAGGGTGTGAATTCAACATTCCAAATCATTATCTTTTTTCTTCATAAAAATTCAAGAAAATTATATTTAAAAAGTATTCAAATGCGAGAAAAGATTTAATTATTTTATTTATTTAAAAATTAAAAATTACACGAAGTCCGAATATGCGATTTTTATCAATTTAGTCAGACAAAAAAAAAATATTACACATGTAACTATATTATATTTTCATGGATTGGTTTTGGTGACAATAAGTTGTGTTATTAGTTAATGATTTGTAGGGCAAGGTCAACAGTGACTTAACTTGTCTGTAAAAAAATCAAACTTTAGCTTCTACATAGAGTTATCCAGGTTTTCACACACTCCTTGGCAAATTGTTAACACAACGCTTGTCGGTAAAGTGACCTGTCGGTAAAGTGGGTGTCGGTAAAGTGATCAGGTCCCATATAGACATGTCCATGTACAACACCGATTACTATCAACATTAATATAATTCCTAAAACGACTAAACATAAGTCAAAAGAAGTGTGGAATTGGTTTAATTGTTGATCCATGAATGAATTTAGCACACCTATTACAATTATGATTAACAATTAATTTGAAGAAGTTTAAATACATCTTTGGATGAAATCAGCGAGTATTAAAGATGAATCTGGTTGCAATCCCTTTGATTGGTGGAGTTATAAAAAAAACAAAATATCCCATCCTTGAAAAATGAAAGATTGTTAGTTTCTTTGATGGGTTCACCTTGGAATTGTATTTTTATGATTGTTTTTATTATTAGGAAATTTATTTAACTATGTATCAAAAGTATGGCGTATCCAAAGTTCCAAGAAGACTTACAAAATTTTCTGGTAATAATAGTCGCTTCATTTCTTCAAAAAAAAAAAAAATAATAAGTTTATTATTTTAATTTAATTTAAATTTGGATTTACTTTTCCAATCACTAATATGTTGCACTTTAATATTAATATTAATTTACTTGTTTATCCCCGCTCCGAATTACCCCTTCGACTAGATTTACTGGATTCATTTAATACTGGGTTTTAAACTGCAATAATAACAAAGTTTGAAGACTAATATTCAAGTGATGTGTCGATCGAGCGATATATGGGAAACATCCAAAGTTCCGTTTACTACTCTGTACACCTAAAATATAGTCACAAAAAATTAGGTTATTTATAATGGGTTTGTTTTTTGCTCGTTAGTGTTAATTCCACAAACTTTAATTAATTAATAATACAGAGGGTGTTCAAGTTGATTGTATGAATAGTAGCAAAAGTTAAATTGAAGAATGCAAGGTAGTGTTTATACATCTCCACCTTATTGTCATTTCTTTATTTTTGTTGGAGTAATGGCCAATGTAGGAAATTAAATATAATTCAATAGGATTATTTGGTGTATAACATAAAGAATAATTGACACAGAGGAAGCAAGACATAATTGTATTACAGATGACAAACAAAAAATGTTTTTGTTGTTGTTTGACAACAGTAATGTATAAATTAAATCTTAATTCTTTTCAAAAACATTTGAAGTTCCTTTTAATTATTTGCTTAGAATAAAATAATTATGGGACTGAATTTCAAAGATGGCAAATTGTATTTATTATTTATTATTATTGTAATATTTGTTATTACTAATGTGCTTTCTGACTCTAGTGCAAGACGTTATGTAGCTGTTAGTGTAGTGGTAGATAATAAGCTTTATATTATTGGAGGTGGAAGTCCAGAGGGCACAACAGATTCATTATTTTATGTAGATTTAACTAATGATTTCAGTGCTATAAATGTACCATGGGTAGATGGCACCAATATACCTGTGGATAATTCTTGGTCTGTAGGAGCAGTTGGTGGATCAAATAAATCAACTATTTTTTTATTTGGTGGATTTATGAGGAACCCAACTTCTAAAAAATATGATTTTACTAATTTGCTTTATGCATATGATGTAAATACAAAAGTTTGGAATGCTCCAAAAACAACTGGTGTTGCTCCCATGAATCATAGAGTTAGCAGTGTTGTTGTGGATAGTAATGAAAAAATGTATATTTTTGGTGGGGCAGCAGATGAAGCTACTGGATCTTCTACAGTTCAATTTCTTAATGACATATACACTTTGAATACAGTAGACCTGACTTGGAATCAAGTTTTCTC